CATCATCTAGCTTCTTGAGGTTCTTCAGATCACAACCAATCGCCAAGTATTGCTCGCTGCGGATCTGGATTGGACTTTCATCCGAGAGAAATTCTACATTCTCAAGAAGCCGGGTAATCTCGTCTGTCCTGCGAATGGCCGTCTTCTTATTGACCATCAGCTTTTCGTAGTCGATATCCACGAACCTCGTCGTACTACACAAAGAGCTATCGGTACTCAGGAGTATGAACGGTAATGGATCACTACGATAGACCAACTTAGCATACGACTCACGCGGACATTTCCCCTCCGTCCGACCGGCACAGCGGTAGTTCTACGACTTACAATCCACATCCAAGATTCAATACGAATTTGGGTTTATCCGACGGCTGCTTCATGAACCGCCGAACCGACTCCGCCATAGCATGCATGCGAAGCCAGTATCCACGATTGATCAAAGGCGATCGTCTCGGGGGTTTCTTCACGAAATATCTGAAGAAATGGGGCTTGGGGTAGTATAGTAATTCGACGCTCCGTTTGGACACAATGCTGCTATTATTAGTCTACGTAGAAGAAGTCAGTGGTATGTGCGCGGAGTCGGCTTCAGAACGACTTACTCCCATCACTAGATCGGCTTCTCGTTCGGCCTTGGTGCTGACTCCAGCCGTAGCTGGTTTCTTTGCAGCCCCCATGGTGGATTCAGCGACCAACGAAGGGCAAAAGAAAGAAAACAAAAGTCACAATCAGTAAATTGTGGGATCACTGTTCAGCCATGGAGGGGGCCTTGAGACCAAAAAATTTACCATATTGCGGAGCAAGATGTGGCCCAAGCGCCCAATGCTCGCTTAGCGCGTTTCGCCCAATTGTACAGCGAACCGCGGCAGTGAAAGCAGTTCAGGCGATCCCCCGCGATCCTCCGCGAATGAGAGCTAGTTTCCTGCCAAGTTCCAAAGACACCGCTCTGGTTTGATATGACGACAGTGTCCACAGCTTTTTGAAGGAAGTCTGCTTTTACGTCTGTGTATGAGATCAACTGTGCCAGTGTCTCCTGAGAGACCCGAAATGCAAACCCGGAGCTGTTTGTGACGAACCCGATCTGCTATGAGACCCCGTTGATCTGCTGTTCTATTTTGCCCCTCCTCCATCCTCATATACAATTTCGGAGCGTGATTCAGCGGGGTAGTCTGTCTGTTCTAGTGTCGCCGGTGACTATCAGAGTATACAAGAGGGATATCAGATCGATCAAAAGGACATATCAGGCGGGTTGGTAGCCTACCGGGGTCAAGATGGCAATGAACTTCGTGACCTTCAACCAAGACTACAGCTATCTGGCTGTTGGTAAGCGCCCCTTGGAACTCTTCAGGCGCATGCGCACGCTCTAAGGCTCTGTATTCCCTCCATCAGCCACCTCGAAGGGTTTTCGCATATTCACGACGGACCCTTTCGCGAAGAGTTATGAGACGAAAGAGGGAAATATTGCCATCATCGAGATGTTGTTCTCGACATCTCTTGTTGCGCTCATCCTCTCACCGCGTCGTCTTCAAATCACTAATACTAAGGTTCGTAGTTCATCACTGGACAACTGTACATTCTTGAACTCTTTGTTTCCCGATAGACACAAAGAGACAATCATGCTGTTGATTGCGCTTCTGCTTTTCGGCATATGTTGACGCTTTCTGCTTGGCTATTTGCCTCATATAGCGCCAATCTACGATATGCGAATTAACCTTCCCCACGACCGTGCTGGCGGTCAAATTGAATCGGAAACGACTCGTGATTGTCCTTGAAGATCAGATCTACCTTTACGACATTCAGACGATGAAACTGCTCTACACCATCCAGACGTCGCCCAACCCCAACGGTAAGCGATGTAATCCGCTCTTGCCTTTAGTCGAGCGTTTTCTAATACCAGACAGCGATCTGTGCGCTATCACCGTCCTCTGACAATTGTTACCTCGCATACCCTCTTCCACAAAAGGCGCCGCCTTCTTCGTTCAATCCGCCGTCTCATACTCCTCCGGGAAGTACTCATGTATCGCCGACAAGCGGAGAAGTTCTGATATTCGATACTTTAAAACTGGAAGCCATAAATGTCATTGAAGCTCACCGATCTCCGCTGGCTTGCATCACGCTCAACAGTGATGGCACTCTGCTGGCCACCGCTTCTGACAAGGGAACCATAATCCGCGTCTTCTCCGTTCCTGACGGCCACAAGCTATACCAATTCAGACGCGGTTCGATGCCATCGAGGATTTTCAGCATGTCGTTCAATACCACATCGACCCTGCTCTGCGTCTCCTCTTCTACAGAGACAATACACCTTTTCAAGTTGAGCCATCCAACATCATCTCCAGACGCCTCCCCTTCCTCTCCTGTGGGCCGTGACAGGTCCCTCAGTCAAAGCTCCTCCGGTTATTCTCCTGACCGCGGCGACCTGACGGGAGACGTGGGCTCATCAGATTTCCCCGCCCGGAAACATAATGGAACTCTGATGGGTATGATTAGACGGACCTCGCAAAACGTTGGCAGTACTGTGGCTGCCAAAGTGGGGGGTTACCTTCCGAAAGGAGTCAGCGAAATGTGGGAGCCGACCCGTGATTTTGCTTGGTTCAAACTACCAAAGCCAAACCAAACTTCTGGTGGCAGCGTGAACAATGGCCCTCTCCGCAGCGTGGTTGCTATGAGTAGCAACACACCCCAGGTCATGGTGGTTACCAGCGATGGTAACTTTTATGTCTTCAGCATCGATCTCTCGAAAGGCGGCGAAGGTACGCTGACAAAACAGTACTCGTGAGTTTACCCGTCCAGACATTTCAGACTTCGAACGTGATATTAACTCCTGCTACAGGGTGCTTGAGTCGAACGATCGGCTGGGATACTCTGTAACGGATTACTGAATCTCATTCATTTGATACCACTCTTTTAGCGGCACTTCATCTCTATTTCTCTATACATTGGTTTTTATACATTGATTTTCAAGCGGCGGCTGTCACTCTGTGCTCTTCTTTCTCTTTCTCTTTTTGGCGTCAGATACACTGAAAGCCTTGCGCCAATAAAGGAACAATCCCGGTTTATGACACACTTTTAGCCCTTAGATACTTTACCGATGATTTCATGCACCTCACTACATGATATAGTCCAATTCAGCTCAAGTCGGGCTTCCCACTTGGAGCAGTCGATAGTTATGACTCCCGTAGGTGACTCATACACTCGGAAAGCAACACCTGCGTGATTCTCCTCAATAATGTGGCTCAGTGTATACATCCAACGATACCTAAACGGTCGACCATTTGAGTACCTTGTATAGAAGTCACATGACATAGGGCGGTGCTGAGAATGAAAATTATCTCCGGAAAGATTAGTCGACCATTTTTCCCAATAATACAGATTCACACTGAGGGTTCAAAAAATGAGTTCCTGATCACTAGGTTAACATCATCGCAAGTGCTCACATATTGTTGAGGCAGCCAGCATCTGCCCAAGTGGCAGGACAATATGCATTCCGACGATCCAACAGGGGATCACACTACAGATGAACGTGTCAAGAAGCCTACAAACCACACGCGGGAACCTAAAAGTCGAGCAAAGTGCTCAAATCCCCTCCGAAGAGGCATACATGATTTTGTAACAAGACATATACCCTCAGACGACCTCGCCAAACATGGTCTGTCTTTGGAGAACCTTGAATCAGGCCTTCCGAAACGGTTCACAGTGTATGAACCACTGCTGCTGCTGCCAGTGAACGCACTCAGCGATCCTCCAGCCTGGGGCTCGCTTTATGCAAGCCTAGACAGCCAAAAGCGAAGGCTTCTCTTTGAGTCGATTGCTACGGCATTCGGGCGGATGGGCGTTACACATATTGCCATGAATGCGCCTATCGCGCCTACGAACACGCAGGGAGGAGAGAACAGGATGCGCAGCCCCGCGGGACTGATTCCTCTTTACGGAGACTTTGGCCTGGTGCCGTTTTGGGACGGCGAGAATGCGCAGCCGACGCGAGAAGACTTGCAGCGTGCGTTCTGGGTGCAGACTATGCAGAATCAGGGGATTGTGCAGATTTGGGCCCCGCTGTATACGATGTTTTCTCGGGGGAACATCACAGAGAAGGCCCGGATTCTGGGTCAAGGATCTGTGTTTGAAGGGCTTGATGAAGGTACCCTTCGGGAAGAGATCGACGGCATCAGCGTGGTTGATCTGTATGCGGGGATTGGATATTTTGTCTTCTCGTATCTGAAAAGAGGGGTGAAGAGGGTCTGGGGATGGGAGATCAACGGATGGTCAGTCGAGGGTTTGAGGAGAGGGTGTACAGAGAATGGATGGGGGTGCAAAGTGGTTCAAGTTGGGAATGATGGAACATCGAGTGAATCGATCCCGGATCTGGTTGACAGTCTTCAAGATTCAGACAGGGTGGTCTTGTTCCATGGGGACAACAAATTCGCCGCTCGCGTTATGAGCGAAATCAAAGGGCACATGGAGCGCCGAGATGCATGGAATAGAATTCGACATGTCAACCTAGGTCTCCTTCCTTCTTCCAGGGGTGCTTGGAGTGACGCTTGCGCAATGATCGATCTACAGTTGGGAGGTTGGATACATGTGCATGAGAACGTGGACGTGCAACATATTGATGCGAAGAAGCAGGAAATCATCACTGAGATCGGCAGATTGAGAGCAATAGCCTTCCCAAGTGCTGTTCAGCAGCCTATTGAATGCCGTCATATCGAGCATGTCAAGACATATGCACCAGGCGTTATGCATTGCGTCTTCGACATCAAGTTGCCTCCGTCCGGAGAGGCACCTTCTACGAGACTCGAGCTGAGCCGGGCATCGAAGCAGTCTCCATCCTGAAGTCAGATGATACAGCGAGAGAGTTGCTATCGCACCTCATGGGAATGAAACTGGCTCACCCGTGAGTTCCAAAATGAAGAGTATGCATTTCACCAGCTCATGTCGTGTAACCGACCCGCGGACTCTCTGATAACATGCACATATATACAACACGTCAGATATCAATTTGTACATCTCTATGTCCGTCTGAGAAATTTCTGCGGGATGTTCGCCTCGACAATTGCCATTCGTTCCAGTTGTTCAAGTCTATCCGCGGCATCTTCTTCCTCGTCATGTCTTCGGAAATGCTCGATATCTTCCGGATGGGTGAGATCTTCTAACTTGGCGTCCTCCCCGTGAAATTTCTCGAAATGATGGATTTCATACTCGTATTCAATATCGCCATGGTGTCCAGGACCGAATCCGAGATCGGGTAACCGTTTACCGGCTGAGATGAGACGCATCCAGTTGTCGCGAGTGATAACCCCTGAACTCCCTGTGTCGAAAAGGGCAAACACCTCGCGAAGCGCCTGTTGCTTGCGCTCCTCGGTCACCCCTGAATTTGACTCATCGTCCATGCCATATGTCTTTCGGACTTCATCAGGGGTCCATGCACCGGAGGAATCGTAGTCGTGGAGGGTGAAGAAAGAACCTGCGTCGAAGGAATCGATGTGGTGTTCCTCTGTCGAATGAATTGTCAATGGCGGTTCCCAATGGAATGACGACGATGTAGAGAGCTACCTTGCATATGGCGAGTCGCCCAGTCTGAGGAAGGGTTCTGCTCGCTCGCATGCGATCCATGAGCATTGGCGAAGCTGTTGCTTAAAGCCAGCAGCGCAGTAGCAAGGCCAATGGAGCGGACAAGCATTGTCGACAAAGCTGCTTGAATGACAATTCCAAACACAAGATGTACAAATCCCAGATACTTACAGATCAGAATGTCTCCAGTATCAAAATGGTAAATAATGATAAATGAGACGAGAAACAGAACAATGGCTTGTCCACATCTCCTCAACTACTTGGCTGTTTGCATTGTTTGTATCGGGGCCCTCGCCTTTTTTCCGGGTCGAGAAAGAAATCCGCATACATCGTGCCATCGCCGGGGTCTTGAACTCACCATCGACTATCTTGGCCTGCGCTCTTTTCAGACGCCATTGAGCCGGAGAGACACCTCGATTGACATTGACTCGACCACCGTATGCATTATCTGAATGAGTTCCACTTAGGAATGCCACGATAATGCAAAGTCTATGGTCCCGCGTTGCTCCGACGCAGTCGACCTGTCGATGCGTTCCCTGCCTCAGTACCAGCGCACCCGGAATAACGTCCCGAGCAGCAACCGCAGCAAGCAAAAGACGCCTTCGCATAGGGAATTCGGTCACGGCGCTGTACACCAGTATCTTTGCTGCCGCAGCTTTGGCAGATGCTCGGGCCAAGGACAAGCGCCGGCATGAGTGGGCCGAGAAGATCGCAGCCGTGAAGGAGGAGGTGAACGAATTGGTAAATGAAGAACATCGACTACTAGAGGCCATTCAGGCTCGGAGGTCGCGTACACTGTCACAAGGAGCTTTACAAAAACGATCATTTACGACCTGGAGATCGATACCAACGCCGAGAAGCGACCAATGGCTCCAAAGGAATCCTTCCCGTCGTTTGGTCCATGCATCACGAAGTGCTGATCTTGAGGACGACGAGGAAATAGTCGATGAGTTTCAGTCAGGAAAACTTCAGGAAATTGTTGAAGACGAAGGAGATCCTGATGACGACAGAACAGGGCTGGAAGATGGTTTCTTCCCTGAAGATATGGAAGTTCCGAAGTGGCTGTCGGACAATACAATTCGACAGAAGGCCATCCGGAAACTTGCAGTGAAGCAACTAGCGATACGACTTTTGCTTCGCGAGTCACTCGCACACAATTACTCGGGTCTTGCGATGGACCACAAGGCCGACTTTGATATGCCCCAACTTAATTACGCAGAGTTGTTGTCTGAACTGAACAAACTTCGACGCAGAATTCGCCTTTTGAAACTCACTGAAGGTGCATACTATGATGATCTGGCACATGATCTCCGCGTACGGTCGACTGCGGAGCTGAATATGGAGCGTACAAGACTCGACGATGAAGCAGCTCGAGATGTCTCGTTGTTTCTCAGAAACAAAATGTCGATACAGGAACTGAATCTGCGATTAGCGAACAATCTACTTCAATCATCGGATCCTGACCGACCGTATTTCATGAAGCTGATGATATTAGCTTTCACCAGGTCCATGCAGAACGATCTTTCGGACCTGGTGCTCAGGACGGTGTTGCCGCACAAGTTTCCATTAAACTCCTCTCTCATCATTTCAATTTTGACCTATTACAAGAAATCCAAAAACCTCAAAGCGTTTGATTCGTTCCTGAAAGTGCTTCGGGGTGAAGGCTACCCGGTGGATCTGGGCAAATTGGGTTTTTACAAAAAGATGGTCGTCAATGGCGTGGAAATAACTATTCCCCCTGTGGCCAGTGCTAATCCTGTCATCTATACGACGTTGATCACAGCAGCTTTGCGCTTCGAACAACTGGATCGAGCTGATGCCTGGCTTCAAGCCGGGAGGAAACACGGCTTCACGGACGATTTCTCGACCCTGTACGCCTATCTGAAGTATTATGCCAAAAGGGAAGACTGGCAAAACGGGTTGTATGCACTCAGGAGATCGCTTGCCTTCCTAACAGGTTCAACGCTACACTCCGATCGGCATGTCGAGAGACTGATTGTGCACATGGTGCAGCTTTGTGACTGGTGTGGAAAATGGGACCTAGCCGATGCCATGATCTCAGCCGCAATCGACAGCGGCTTTGATTGGAGTTCCGCGACCACAAATCAACTTGACATCCAATTTGGCCGAGATCCTCGCCTCCATTACTGGCAGAAGAGGGTCGACAAAACGACAATAGAGAAACGGAGTAGACCTGCATGGGAAAAGTCTTTTACCTTTGCCAAGCTATTTGGGGAGCAATTAGAGGATCTCGGTTTACCCGAGGGTCAGAATCCCGCCGCCCACTGGCAGAGGATGGTTGCCCTGCATTCTCGAGAAGTGCTGTCAGCTATGTCTGGCCCTCTCCGTAAACTCAAAGACGCAAAACCGACCGAACCGGCTCCCCAGCCGATCCTCAGCCGTGACGATTTCGACGTCGTTGAGCATGTCAGTTCCGACCCTATTGAGGAACACGACATATCCGCTGAGAAGAAGACGCCGCGGGAGGAAATCGACGTTCTGAAATCGGAGGTGCAGGAATTGAAGCGAGCGGTTTCGAAACTACGTCTCAGGTTTCGGCAGAAACGTGTGGGTGTCTCAACTATGGCTTCCACCGGCGACAACATAGAACCCCCAGAGGGAAAACAATACAACCTACAGAGCGCCACGGTTTACTGAAAGTGGTGGGTCCGAAGCCGGCGGCTGGAGTAGAATGATCATTCAAGTAGTGATCGCGCGTTGTTTGTAATGATACATCAATTTACCTGTATAATATCGTGTCGGATAGGTATAGGAATGATGATGCCGTAACACCTGCTTCACCACTCTTGATGGGTTCTAGAGTTATGAGTCGCAGAAATACGCCTGCCAGATATTCCCATTATTAGCGTTTCAGCAGTTGTACTCTCTACAATCATCGAAGGGCATATAGTGACGTCTAGAATTCAAAACGCCGCCGAATATACATACATCTCAGGCAAGTCTACTCTAGAATGACTGAGTCAAGACGCCGCCATGAAATAAAAGAAATGGGGAATCTATGTTATTCTCGAAACCAGGATAATCTATCGTCTCTTTGCAGAGTCTCCGCGCATCTTCTCTTTGCGTGACAGTCTCTCTGCGGCGCGCAGCAAGGAGGATCGGATCTCGCCCTTGGGGAAGGTTGAGATATCGTAGTATGTGGGAGCGATATCCTAGAAAGAGGCCGTTAGTACATGCTCGTTTAATGATAGTACTGGGACGGAGACGACATACAAGGAGCCATTCGGGTTTGACGGCGGTCACAGTCCGAATGTAATTCTTAGTGGTGAGGACGAATTCGTTATAGAGAACCCACTCGGCATCATAGCTGAGGACAGTTGACGGGTGCAGAAGAACACTCTGGTTGTCCTTGACGGTCGTATAAACACTCTTTCCCTGTGGTTCCTTCTTTGCGACCTGCATGAAGAATCCCGCGCACAGCGCACGCCGGATGTTCTCGTAGTATTTCTTGTCTTCGAAAGGAGTCGAGATCATTTCCAGCTCCTCGCGCTCCATGATCCTCAGGAGCTGCATACGAACGTTGTCTGCCGATTGGAGAGATCTGAGGGAGAGATAATGATCGTGACACCACTGCTTTGGATTCTCCTGGGCTTCTGGACTCTTGAAGGCATGATAGGCGTTCAGAAGAGTGAGGTGGTCACCATCGGGATGAGCGAAAAGATTCTTCATCTCGTCGGCGCGCTTTCTCTGCGAGGCGGGCCTCACGAAAATTTGAGGAACCGAAAGCAGAGCTGTGATCGACAGAATCTCATTTGAGCAGTAGAACTCGGGAGAGCTGATCAGCATGACGGCAAGCGCGGGGTCAAGAGGAAACTCGGAGGCAAGGCGGCCCAGCGGTGTCAGGTTGCCGTCGTCATCAAGGCAAGCCAGATAATTCAACTCTTCCAGAGCTCTCATGAGAGTCTCGGGGGCGGGAGGGTCCATCAGGTCAAAATGTACCAGATCATCGATTCCCAACTTCTTCAATTCTAGCACGGTCGAAGAAAGGTTAGATCGGAGAATTTCGGGATAGGTCTGATCAATCAACTCCTTCTTGAATGCACCCTCCGTGTATAGACGGAAGCATTTTCCGGGGCGCGTACGACCCGCACGACCAGCTCTTTGTTGAGCGGAAGCCTTGGAGATGGGAGACACGAGAAGTGACTCGACCCGAATTCGGGGGTTGTAGATCTTCTGTTTCGAGAATCCCGGATCCACCACGTACACGATTCCGTCGATGGTAAGAGATGTTTCTGCAATGTTCGTCGAAACAATCACCTTACGGCCAGGACGACCGCCAGGTCTGCGAGGGGGAGGAGCGGGCTCGAAGATACGCTGCTGCATGTGCGGAGGCAGACTGCCGTAAAGCGGATAGACTTTCAAGGGACCAGCGTCGGCTTCTCTCACCATCTCGTCCGCCTCAAGCGATATCTTGCGCGCAGCATCTTCGATTTCTTCCTCACCGGTCAGGAACAGAAGGATATCACCATCTGGCTCTGTGGCGTGGATTTGAAGGACAGTGCGAATGGCTGCTTCTACGTAATCTTGTTCCGGTTCGGGAGTATAGAAGATCTCGACGGGATGAGTACGACCGGGAACGGCAAGTAGAGGAGCGTCGTTGAAATACCGCTGGAACTTTTGCGCATCCAAGGTGGCGGACATGATAATGATCTTCAAATCGGGCCGACGCTGCACAACTTCTTTGAGAAGACCCATAAGCACATCGGTAGCCATGGTTCTTTCGTGAGCTTCGTCAAGAATAATTGTGCTGTAGCGTGTAAGGTCGTGATCATGCATAGCTTCTCTCAGAAGCATACCATCCGTCATATATTTCAAGCAGGTCTTGGAACTTGTCATGTCCTCGAAACGGATACTGTAACCAACTTCCTCTCCAAGCTTAACATCCAATTCAGCAGCCACACGCTGAGCAACGGACATGGCAGCGACTCGACGAGGTTGAGTACAAGCGACCATTTTGCGCTGCGTTTGCGGTAAATCATCGTACAAGACGAACTGGGGGATCTGTGTAGTCTTTCCGGAACCAGTCTCACCGACGAAGACTAGAATCTGGGACTGCTGGTAAAGCTGCAGAAACTCGTCTCTTGAACA